CTAATTTTTTAAAAATTCAAATTTATTAAGAAATGGCCCAAATGGATTCCCAAAGCATCCACCGCCCTCCATTTTTTAATGGTCAAAACTATTCTTATTGGAAAATGCGGATGGAATACTTCATTCAATCAATTGATTTTGATTTATGGTTGAATGTACTTCACGGGCCATTTGTGCCGAGTATTGGTAATCTTGCAGGATTATCTCCGGAGGATAAAAGAAAGTTATCAATGAATGCAAAGGCAATCAACATCCTCCATTGCTCCCTCGGTCCCGATGAATTTGCAAGAGTGAGTACATGCAAAACTGCCAAAGAAGTATGGGATCTATTAGAAGCCACTCACGAAAGGGATGTCTCGACAAAGCAAACAATGATTGCCCCTGGGAACGCCGAATACGAATCCTTCAAGAAAGGACCATGTGAGACAATCCAATATATGAACAAGAGGTTCAATGAGATTGTCAACAAATTGAGTAAGTTGGGTAAGACGTATACTACTCCCGAGCTTAATACGAAAATTCTATTTTCTTTACCTAAAGAATGACATAGTAGTATAGTGGATTTATTACCGAAATGTGATAAGGCCGAAACCGCCCACATTTAGTCTTCCTTGTATTCTCACAAACTTTTGTTGAGAAAGATCAAAGAGGAAGAAATGCGTGAAAATCCCAAGCTTACCAACGCCTTCAAAGCTTCCAAAGACTCGTCAAGTGAAGAATCAAGCGAGTCAAGTGATTCAAATGACTCAAGCTCCTCGGAAGAGTCAAATGACGAGGACGATGAAGAGAAGACGATGAGAATGAAATATAGAGATTTCCTCAAATGGAAGAAGTATGTGAAGAGGAAAGAAGTATATTCAAAGCCGAAAAAAGAGCGGCATAAACCAAGGTAAATTCTTCTCACTTATTGGGATAAGATATTTTGTTTTGTTTTAATTATTTTCAAAAATAAAACCTTATCTCATACGTGCTTTTATTTGCTTTAGCCTTGGTTTGCATGATTAAATAATTTTTTTTTGAATTCATCTTTAAATCATGCTTTTTAGAAAATAATCTCTAAAAACCCCTGAAAAAATAAAGTTTTTAAACTTGCATCATTTTAGGGGGAGTTTTTATTTTTAGAGGGAGTTTCGTTGTAAATGCACCTTTTGCCCAATGATCTCAAAACTATCATTTTTCCTAAAAAATTCATTTTGATAGGGGGAGGGTTTCAAGAAGTTATACATAGTTAAAATTTTCAAAATACCCTTTTTTATTTTGACAAAAAGGGGAGAAAATGTATACTTCAAAGTGGTGCATATGCAACTTGACTTGAGTGCATTCTTGTGAAACTATTTGCATCAAACTTATACTTTTAATAAACACAAGAAAAAGTTCAAAGTACTTTAAATATGCTTATTCTTAGGGGGAGCTTGCTTTCTTCATTTTTATACTCCCGCCTAACCTGCTTTGAAGTATATTGTTTGTCAACATCAAAAAAAGGGAGATTGTTAGCCTTGGTTTGCTAAGTCTCATGTTTTGATGTTAACAAACAATATAAGAGTTTGACGTTTGTTTAAGTGTTTCATGTACAACAAGAATCCATTAAGATTCGGTACTCAAGTATGAAGTCGAAACACTAAACTAGCGTAGAATATAGGTAGAAACCAATGTAAGGATATGACTTTATATACCTATATTCACAAGCTCAAAAGCACTCACAAAATATGTTTAAAACCATCCCATAAACATTTTCAAAATATCCAAAAGGTTTTAAACTCAATCGCGAAGGATTACGGGAATTTTGGAAAAAGCAGGACAGTGGCACGGTACCCCTAGCGGTACCCCAAACGGTAGGTTATACCGCCTACACGGTACCCCCATACCGTGTAACGGTACACAGGTACCGTACGGTAGGCCACCCCGTCCTAACCCGGTACCGCCAGAGGCGAAAACTTATTTTGGCCTATACGGTACCCCCACACGGTAGGCCGTACCGTGTCACGGTACCTAGGTACCGGATGACAGGACCCCCCTACCGTGAAGGGTACCGGATCCGTTACAGCACTGTAGCAAAATTGCCAATTTGAATTAAATCAACCTTAATCACCTCCCAACGGCTAATTAACATCTTCCACTCTAAATACAAGCCTAATTCTTCATATTTCTTCAAGAAACAAAGCTCTAAACTGTTGGTGATGTGTAGTCATCGGCCCAAAGTGGCCCACTTATAGACAATTGAGAGTTAGGAGACCAGATTAGGGTTTCGGCCGGCCCAAATGGTTTTAAGCCCAGTTTGCTATAACTTGTCCAGCAAGGGTTAAACCCTAATTAGTTGTCTATATATATGATCTCCTGTACTTGTAATCATTATCACTCAATAATACAAACCCTAGTTGCCCCTGTGGATGTAGGTCAGATTAGACCGAACCACGTTAAATCTCGTGTTCTTTATCGCTTTCTTGCTTTATATTCGTGTGTGTGCTTTTTTTCTTAACAACTGGTATCGGAGCCTAGGTCGTACACACAGATCTGCCTCCACTGCCAACCCTAGCGACTCTAGGGTTTCTGCCGACACATCAGAAGACCAACGATATAGTCATCTGTTGGCAGTCCGAACAACCTTCCTGTTCAGTTTGCTGCTGCAATTTTCGAGGTCAGTTCTGGTTGTTTGTTTCAATCTGTTCTC